CAGTGGCCCCTTCCCATGTCTTGCATGAATTACCTGAAATAAATAAGGACAAGTAGTCTAGGTGACCTTGACCCCTGACCCTTCCCTGTGCGGCCCCCACAAAACTGAGGAAACCTTGATCATGGTACACAGCAGATTGTAATGCAATGGTTTTCAAATCTCTCCGATGCTGGGTTCAGAGTTAAAGGGGTTAGACTTAACATATATGATTCCAAAAATATTCAAGGAGGTAATTATATCAGATATTCTGAGTCAGTCAGGTAATGCATTCAACCCAGTACCCCATTCCAGACTTCGAAGTTACAAAGATATGGCTAATCTGGATATGAACCACCAAAGAAGAGGATCACACTTCCAAAGTAACCCATAACTAATTTTGGACCCATGACTTGATTTAGAATTGAGTACAAGTTATGTCACTTAGGTCTGCATGACACTGGCAAGCCACTTTATTTCTCCAGGCCACAAGTGCCTCCCCTGTGTAGAGAGCTCAGGACAAGGGGCTTTTCAATATGCCTTTGAATACTCATATAACTGTGAGTCTTTGTAGAATATATGTAAAAAAACAATGTGTGTGTGCATGCGTGTATGTGTGTAGTGCTTATTTGTCAAAATGAAAGATAATTGGGCATGCATAACAATTTTAATAATATTTAACCGTAAGGGGGAAATGAAAGGAGATTGACATTGCTTAAGCAACTTTGAGACTCCAGGGCTGTTCTAGTTATTTTTACAATGTTACCTCATTTAATTATTACACCAACCCTAATGACTCTATGACTTATTACACATCCTGCGGTTTTAGAAAACTGAGCTGAAGGTCACCCAGACATTCAGAGGTACCGTTGAGACAGAGGACTCAGACTAAATGCAAAGCTGTGGCTCCCCAATATGGTTTGGGAACCTGTACAGGAGGTGGACTCAGGCACTGCTGCCACTAGGCTGGTCTCCACAGATTCTGACAATGTCCCCAGTACTGCAGAGGCTGCCGATGGGGGACTCGAGGTTGGAGGAAGAATGATTACAGCCCCTAAAGGTTGCACTGTTTTGCTTGTGAAGTATGCCCCAGAGGTGGCACTGAAAGTCACCCCGCCCTTCTGTATGCATTGCAGCCCTCACCACACCTGACTGACTGGGTTCCAGGACTGACACACGTCTTCAAATTCAGGGCCAGTTATCTGTCCCTAGCTTCCCACCTCCCACCTGCAAGAGACTGGGAAAAACAAAACCAAGCTTTTAATTGTTTCACTAAATGCCATTTCTGAGAAGATGCTACTGGTAGAGGAGCAGAATATGGGCAAGGACCCAGAGGACCAAAGTTCCATTCCTTTGTTCTATCCCCACGCTACATTGCCTCTTTAAGCCAATTTTCTTTGAGAGAAAGTGAATTCCAAAAGTTTGACATATGCTTAGCCATTTAGGGAGGCTCAATTATACTGAAAAGAGCACTTGACGAAGGAACCACTAGTCACTCTGTTGCTATTTAGCTGTGAGATGTTGGGCAAGCCACCAACATTTTCTAAGCCTGAGATCCCACCTCCATTAAAAAAAAAAAAAAAAAAAGGAAGGTAATCTCTCACCCCTCTTCCATGTACAAAGTTTACCCCAGACCATCAGCCTTACCCGGTTGTCACCTCATTCTGGAGAGGACACTTTGTGGAGTAAGTCTGCATTCACCTTGCATGACTTTTCTGACTTTACTTCCTTCTGGCATTATCCAGTGCTAGCCTCCTTCTGTCGATATGTGTGGTTCAATGACTACAGCAGAGCCTGGGAGCAGAGCCGGATGCCAGCCAGCACCTTCCAAGAGGCACTGTCTTTGCCTGACGCTGGGGCTGCCTGCTGACCTCTCCCCACAGCTGCAGCCATGCTGCAGGCCTTGCTGGCAGGCCCTCAGACCAAGTGACTCACAGGTGTTGCCCACCACCAGCTCTCCCCCCACCGGCCTCTCAGACACCACCTGAAGTGTCAGCTGGCCCTGGTACCTTTGCCATTGGGAATACTGGCAGCAGCTCTGCAGACTGCATTGAGCTGTTGGACCCTGGGGCCTTCTAAAGGTGCCTCACACAGACAAATTCCCACTGGGTTGATAATCTCACCCCATTTCACAGATGGGGAACTGTGGCCACAGCACCTCCCTGCCTTCCAAGAAGGAACAAAGGCCAGGTATCCGCCAGGGCAGAAATAAAACCTTCAGCCCTCTCCTGGAGCAATGTAAGCTTTCATAATCGGTCATGCGTCTTTTTACCTTTTGAAACTTTGTCGGGTTTATATATAGCCTCCATCTTGTCCCTCTGAACTCGGCAGGGCTTGTAATCAGTCACTGGGCTGAACACCTGGAACTCTGTGGGGATTATCATTAGAAGGATGCGAGGCCAGGTGTGGTTTTGGACCAGAGACCTATTGGAATAGGGAGGATTTCTCACTTTCCAAGTTTACTCTGCTCAAGTTAAAACAATTAACCTCCTTTCCCCTTCAAACAACTGTTCTCTGCGGCTCTCTACTAGCAATATCCAACCCATAGACACAATGTCAGAAGTGGACTCTCTACCCTTCAAAACCTGCAGATGAAAAGGCAGATTGGACCTGTCCTTAGGGGTTCTCTCTACTACTGCTACCCTCTTTCCCCTCCTAATTTCTCTCCCTTCTTCTAGATACTTAAACTTACAGAGAGCAGGAATTTTCTCTTCTGCTGAGGGTCACCAAGAGATTATAGCACAAGGGGTTTTAGCCAC